GGCCCGAAACGTCAGTTTTCCTGCTCCTCTGATGCTGCTTGGCCTGCTGTGTTCATCCAGCTCTACACCTTGTGTTCTCAGGACACAAGGAACTGCAGCTTTAGATTCGGCACATGACAGCCTTCCAGTATCAACAGAGATCAACAATTTCAGAAATGCCAATAGCTCACACCATTAACAGCTCCTCAAGGCACATCCTTTGTCTCTTTGTGATCTAATTTGCCTTGCAATGTCAGTGATTGTTATTGTAATCTCTCCTGCCCTCCACCCTATCACCAACATTCCAATTTGACCTCCTCTGCTCACCTCCCACTGTCCCTGCTTCTCTAATTGCTTTAAACCAGTTACATCTCCAACCACTTCCAACTCTCACAAAAGATGAATTCAGTTTCTTTCTCCACAAATGCACTCTAGCCTGCTGACTATTTCCAGCATTTTCAGATTTATTTGACATTTTCAGCCTGCGGTGGTTTGCTGAAGTAAAAAAGCTTGTTCATTAATGGATACAAAATTTCAAATCAGGTGCAGGGAGTAGGGTGTTTGGCCACTTAAGCCTGCTCTGTCCTTTGAGGAGATCATTTCAAATCTGATTATGGCCTCAATCTACCTTCCTGTCTGCCCCTTCTGAAACTGTTCGACCTCCTTATCGGTTAAGGCTCTATCTCTATCGGCACCTTCATCACTATTTGGGTAGGAACATCTGTCAGACAGCCAGCCCTCGGTGAAAAAAATTCTCATCTCCGTTTCGAATGGGCAAGCGTTTATGTTGAAACTGTGTCTCCTAGTTCTCGTCTTTCCTCCAAGGAGAAACAATCTTCAGCATCCACCTTGTCAAGTGTCCTCAGGATGCGGAGAGTGACAGCTAATGTGGTTTTTGATTCTTACCTGTTCAAAAACACTAATCACAGAGTCCGTCCTCTGTTCCAACTCCCTGCCCCACGCCCCACTTTGGAAATGAAAACAGGGCTTACTTAATCCTTTGTATCTCGCTGCTCACATCAGGACGACTGCTGTTCTGTTTCAGTCCTTCCTTGAGAGCTGTTAACAATACGTCAGGATAACAATAAAACAGCAGAGGGATTTCTTTTTCCAGAAAGTAGTTGGAACAGCTTCAATGAATCAAAGAAGAAATTAAAAAACAAGGTCAATAAATGCACAGCCAGAACTTGAAAACCACAAATCAACTGGTGTCTCTGTGTGACAGAGTCATACAGCATCATCCAGATGCTTCTTAAATGCTGCGAAAGTAACTGCCTCACCCACCTTCTCAGGCAGCATGCTCCATGTTTCTACACCCTCTGGGTGAAAACATTCTGTCTCGAAATTCTCTAAGCCACTTCAGTCTTCACTTTAAACATTTGCCCTCTGGTCTTAGATGTATGTGCGGGTGTGGGTGCGTAGGAGGTGTGAGGAGTGTGGGAGGGGGTGGGGAGTATGGAAGTGGCGGGATGTGGGCATTTCAGGGTTGGAAGCAGAGATGGGGGCAAGGTGGGACAGGGGAAGAGAGAAAGAGCGGAAGAGGAGTCAGGGGAGCGGGTTGGAGGAAACAATGGCACTGGTTGTGACTGCAGTTCCTCTCTCAGAGTACACAAGACAAATTTAAGATTCACACCTGAAGAAGGGTCACTGGACACCAGGGAAGACACAGCCAGCAAAGACGCCATGCAAGACCCACCTTTGGACCAAGAAAACACTGACTATCCTGTTGAAGGAGTTCAGCAGCTCAATCACGTTCACCAGAGCAAGTAGTATATGTGTTTTTCAGAGAGTCAGCCTAATTTGGGAAAAATTAACTTAATTTGTGAAAGAGTAGTTTCTTTAACTTGAGTGTTTTAATAAAAAAAAAGTTTATCTCATACAGTTACAGTACCGAGGTAAACAGATTTTATGAATAATAATCTGGTTGAAGTGTCTGTATAGAATATTCCACAGGGCACTTCAAATAAATCTTGTCCTCTCATCTCCGATTATTCCAAATCATCATCCCCCTTCAAAGAAGTGATGCTCCAAGCTAATTCCTCCATAAATTTTAATCTTCTCTCTTTAGTTCTTTGGCGGGGGTGGGGGGGATATTGATGGAGTGCAGTATGAGGATGGGTGGGGGGGATATTGATGGAATGCAGTATGAGGATGGGGGAGGATATTGATGGAGTGCAGTATGAGGATGGGGGGGGGATATTGATGGAGTGCAGTATGAGGATGGGGGGGGACATTGATGGACTGCAGTAGGAGGATGGGGGGGATATTGATGGACTGCAGTATGAGGATGGGGGGGATATTGATGGACTGCAGTATGAGGATGGGGGCGGATATTGATGGACTGCAGTATGAGGATGGGGGCGGATATTGACGGACTGCAGTATGAGGATGGCGGGGGGCGAGCGGATACTGATGGAGTGCAGTATAAGGATGGGGGGGATATTGATGGAGTGGAGGTTGTGGTGGGGGGTGAAATTGATGGAGTGCAGTCAATGCAACCATATCCTCCACGCCCTTATAGAAGGGTTACATGGGAGACCATTCTGCCCATACCAATTAATAAGAGCTTTAGGGAAGGAAATTGCCATCTTTACCTGATCTAGCCCACACATGACTCCAGACCCACTTTTCAGCTCTTGCTCTGTTACCCTTTCGTTATCTATCCTTTAAAATTCTCAGCAATTATCATCACAGCCCCAGGCTCCTCGTCTGATTGAGAGTGTAAGAACTGAAAGGTCCCCAGTGCTTACTTCCTTGGAATTGGTCTCAGTGCATCCTCCTTAAATAAGGAGGACAACATGGATTAGATTTTATCCCCTCCCCGAGCAACGGGTGTGCGGTTTCCAGCTACTTTCTTTCACCAGTTTCCAGGCATTGGTCTCAGACTGTCAATATCACCCCACCCTGCAGCTTGGCAATGCCCACCCCCCCCATCCCATCACATCCTGTCGATCTCTCCCAAACTGCAGTCCGTCAATTCCACCCCCCACCCCACCACAACCTGCAGTCAATTAATATACACTCTCCCCAATTGTGCGGTGACTGTTCCTCCCTCGCTGCAGTAATGCCCAAAATTGGTCATGTCCCCAAAATCCATCTGATTCAGAGGGAAAGCTGCTACGACCGAGCCAGAGGCGACTCAACAGAAGCCAGTGTTGAGGGGTCAGAGAGGTTTTGGATCGCTGTTGGATCTCCTGGGGAGGCAGTGGCTTAGTGATATTATCACTAGACTACTAATCCATTTTTTCTGAAGAAGGGTCTAGGCCCGAAACGTCAGCCTTCCTGCTCCTCTGATGCTGCTTGACCTGCTGTGTTCATCCAGCTCTACACCTTGTTACCTCTACTAATCCAGAGAACTAGGTTCACATCCCACCATAGCAGATGCTGGGATTTGAATCTCACAAAAATCTGGAATTAAGAGGCTCAATGACAACCATTGTCAATTGTTGGAAAAAGCTATCTGGTTCATTAATATCTTTTAGGGAAGGAAACTGCCATCCTTACCTCGTCTGGCCTACATGCGTCTCCAGATCCATAGCAACATGGTTGACACTTAACTGCCCTCTGGGTAATCAGGGATGGGCATTAAATGCAATGCCTACGTGCCATGAATGAATTACAAAGAGACAAATTGCACAACTAAATGTTGAAGCTCACCTGCATGGCGGTAATCCCTCTTCAATAATCGCGTCTGTCCGACGTCGAATGGAACCGTGGTAAGGTTTGTAGGGGGCAGTTGGTTTCAACTCTTCAGTCAAGCTGCTCGTTACCCGAGCTGAGAAGAAGCGAATAATGTTGAAGGGCTTTGAGTTCGCATCTTTGAACTGAAAGACGAGGGTAACCGGGAAATAACCAGAGTCAGCCATTGGGCAGATAACTTCAATCTGGTGGGTTGCTCCTGCACAGATAAAGAGTATATGACTGATCTGGCTAAAGTCCACTGCTCTCCATTTACTTACAACATAACGAGTTGAGCCTGAAACCGTGGTCTAACAAGCCACCCACAGTTACACCAACAATAAAAAGAGGTGACCAACAATTCAAGAATTACTCACGACAGAAGGGATGGGATTACATGAGAGAGAGAGAGAGGACAGGGGAGGTTCATGAGGATGTCACCAGGGCTGGAAAACTGCAGCTGCGAGGGAGGACTGGACAAGCTGGGGTGCCCTCCATCAAACAGAGCGGGGGTAGACTTGGTTGGGTCGTACTAATTTGAGTGGGGCTCATAAAGAGTGGAGGAGAAGGGTAATTATCTTTGCAGAGAGGACAATGATTAGGGGGACATTTGTTAAAGTGCTTGATAGACAGATTAGAGGGGTGAGGAGGAAAACTCTTCTCACCCAGAGGGTGGTCGGGGTCTGGAACATACTGTCTAAAAGATAGTAAACCTTAAACCCTTAACTCATTTAAAAAGGTATCTGGATTTGCACCACAAGCATTCACTCCCTCCACCAACGATGCAGAGTAGCAGCAGTGTGCACCACCTACAAGATGCACTGCAGAAATTCATCAAAGCTCCTTTGACAGCACTTTCCAAATCCAAGACCACTAAAGAAGAGAGATAGTAGGAACTGCAGATGCTGGAGAATCCAAGACAACAAGGTGCAGGGCTGGATGAACACAGCAGGCCAAGCAGCATCATAGGAGCAGAAAGGCTGACGTTTCGGGCCTACTTGAAACATTAATTCTGTTTCTTGTCACAAGTGCTACCAGACCTGCTGAGTTTCTCCAGCAATTACTATTTCTGATAATCCTCCACCTCATTTTCCACCTTTTCCCCATAATTCTTGATTCCCTTACTAATTAAAAGCCTTGAATATACTTAATAACCCAGCCTCAACAGCCCTCTCTGGTAATTCCACACATTCATTATTGCCTGAGAAAAAAAATTCATCTCTATCTTAAAGGTACAACCCCCTTGTTCTAAGACAAGGCCGTCTAATCCTAGACTCTCCCACGAAAGGAAAAAAAATCTTTCCATATCTGTCACAACTATCTTATAAACATGGCTCCCTTGTTTTTAAATTCTCCCCACGGAGGCCGGCTCACCACCAATACCTCTGAGGAGATGGGCTATCAATGCCATCCTTGCCAGTGATGCCCACATCCCACATGTGACGAAGCTGACAGCAGGGGTGAGGAGTAGGAAGCGTGTGCCTCACCTGCTGCCAAGGAGAATGGTTGGGAACTGGTCACGTTTGCCTCATCCCTCAGGGTGAACACTCGGAGCTTGCGAAGCATCTCGCACCGTACGAAAGTCACTGTCTCATTCCCTTCGTTCTTGACGTTAATGGGGACTTGTTTCTGGTCGTTGGGGTTGAGGGAAACCCTGATTTTGCCCTCACCGATATCGAAGTCTGAATACACACTCACACCACCTTTATTCTGGATCATCTGTTTCCTGTAAGACAATCATAATGCGTTACCACTGCAACCCAGAGCCCGCATTCGCCAAACATGCCACTGTGCAGATGACAAGATTCTTTTCATAGAATCCCTACAGTGTGGAAGCAGGCCATTCAACCCATTGAGTCCACACTGACCCTCCAAAGAGCATCCCACCCAGACCCACACCCCTACCCTACTCTACTCTATCCCTGTAACCCTGCATTTCCCATGGCTAATCCACCTCACCCACACGTCCCTGTGCACTATGAGCAACTTAACATGGCCAAACTACCCAACCTGCACATCTTTGGACTGTGGGAGGAAACCCAGGCAGACACAGGGAGAATGTGCAAACTACAATTAGTTGCCCCAGGCTGGAATTGAACCTGGGTCGCTAGCGCTGTGAGGCAGCAGCGCTAACCACTGAGCCACCATACTGCTTCTGGAAGTACAGGGAACAGGGCTCATTCATTTAATTTTTATTCAACATCTCAGGGAAGGCTCACTCCAGTGGGCCCACTCAGAAATCCAGGGAGAGGGTCAGCTCCACGAGCCTGGAAACCACAGCAGGGCACTGATTTCTCATAGGATTGAAAATACCCAAAAATCTCTTTCCCCACCCCATACAAAGGCAACAGGTTAAAAATTCAAAATTATTCATTTCAGTGAGTGCAGGGTCAACAGGTGGATCAGGCTACCTCTGGACACAGTGAGTGTGGTTAGGACCGATTGATTCAAACACATCAGATAAAGGTCTTTCAGATATCAGAGACACAGCAAGTGGCTTGTGAGGAAAAGGCAAGTTTGGGTCTTTGCTCCCCCACTGGGAGTTCTCCTCAAACTCATATCAGGCTCACTGCAGACTCATTGATAAGGATCGATCGCTGATCAGTCAGTCAGCTCTCATTCTTGTTTCATGTAATTTCCAAAATGGGTAAAAATGAACTGGATGGACCCTGGTTTTGTCACTATCTTGCAACAAAAAGATTAGACAACATAAATATTGCTAAAAGGAGACATGAAGTTGAAGATTGTCGCCTTCGATTCAACCGGATGGAAACACAAGAGGCGGAACAAAACACTTAATGAAACAATAACCTATACAGCAAGCAAGAGGGCTAGGAGTGGGACAAAGAGAAACTTCTTTACTCAGAGAGCTGTTAGGATTTCGAATGCGCTGCCTGGGAGAGCGATAGAGAAGTATTGCATAGGTGGTTTCAATAGAGAGCTGGATATATATTTGAAAGTGTTGAAGTTAGAGAGCTATAGAGATTGGGCGAGACAGTGGGGTTAGCTGGGTAGCTCTTTCAGGAGCCGATACAAACATGATGGGCCAAACAGCCTCATTCTGTCCTGTAAGATTCTATTGGCCAATCAGCACCCTCTTCATCTGCTTATAAATTGCTTATTGCAGTTGTTTCTCTTCATGTCCTAGTCCTGACAAATGTGAGACAAAGAGCTTCAATTTCATGTCTCTTATTAAAGTTTGAGAAATGAATGTTGTTGGGCATAGGGGTTCTTCTGCTCTAGTTGTGTTGGCATCAGAGACTAATTCCCATATTCCGCCAATCTTCATGTGGGTAGTGTTAGCTCCAAACAGCCACCAATTGCTGAGACAGTTGTCCTGAAGGTGAGAAACTTAAAAATGGAAATTATCTAAAGATGGGTCTTGAAGATTTCATGTGATGAGGCAGCGTGTTCCACTGTGGGATTGACTTTGGATAGCAAGAATGCTGCAGTGTCTTGGGGAAAAAATTATCTTTGTGTCGATGGTGACCTCCTCATATCATTGACAAAGGCCATCAGGCACCAGAATCTATCAATTCCCACCTGTCCATTTCTGAGTTAAACAAAGTTTTGTGCCCACTCTCTGCAGAGTTGATCTTACTGGGTACATTCTAATGGTGTTATAACTGCCTCTGGGCTTGTAATTGTGGGGGGGGGCGGGGGGGGGGGGGCGGTGGGGGAGGGGAGGGGGGTGGTCATTCTGGAACATCTCCCTCACCCCACCAAACCCAAGGCCCCCTCATCATAGTCACTGTCTTTTGCTGGGAGCACTAACTGGCCTCAAGTGAAAGAACAAGACTCCTTATCATCTGTGACACTCTGCAAAGTCAAACAGCTAGCCCATAAACCCTCTAGACTATCCCCCTTAGATGAGGTACCCAGAGGTGTGGGGGGTGGAGTCAAGCTCCAACAGGAGTTATTGACTTCACAAGTCAAAGCAGGAAAAGAAGCAGCTGATGGGATTTCTCCGATCAGAAGGACTCAACTTTACCTGTTCTGTTTCAGCTGATGAATGATGGCTTTGGCACGGACCCTCTTCCCAGGTTCCTGGACAGGGGCTGGAGGCAATGGTGTTCCCAGATTGCTTGCAGGATTACGATACTGGTCAGCATACTCCACCTTTTTCCACTGGGGAGGACACAGGACACGATGTCAGACAGTTGCTCCTTACACAGAGAGTAGCCTGTCTCAGAATGTTTACCAGCTGTGACAGTGGGTGCTGACATTCTTCACAGCTTCAAGGCAAAGTTCTTGACTGGGGCATATTGTTAGACAGTCTACGCAATTGGTCCATGTAATGTAATGTAACCTTTTAAACCCTAGTATCATGCTGATCAACATGCCGAACCTGCAGCAAAACAATTTTATTCTCCAAGAATATACAGGATGTATATTCTAAGATTCACCTTGAAATATCCCAGCAAAGCAGCAACATTTACTTTGGCAGGAAAATAAATGGCAGGAACAATACAAGATACACTGGGGCAACCTTCATCCAGGAGTGGAACAGAATCAAATATGGCAGACTTAGCTTCACATCTCAACTAAAAAGACAGCAGTGTGAATTAACTACAAGATGCACTGCAGAAATTCACCAAAAGATCCTTAGACAGCTCCTTCCAAGCCTGACCACTTTCTTCTCGGGCAAGCACAGCAGATACATGGGAATACCATCCCCTGCAAGCTCCCCTCTAAGCCACTCACCATCCTAACTTGGAAATATATTGCCATTCCTTCACTGTTGCTGGGTCAAAATCCTGGAATTTCCTCCCTAAGGCATTGTGGGTCAACCTATAGCAAGAGGACTGGAGCAGTTCAAGAAGGTAGCTCACTATCACTATCTTTTCAAAGACAACAATGATGGGCAATAAATGCTGGCCCAGCCAGGGGCACCCATTCCATGAGAGAATTAAAAAATAAAACATCTTTGGGAGTGCAGCCCTCCCACCACGAGTGCACCAGGAAGCATCAGGCTGGAATGTACGCTCATATCATCGCATTGGGTCACAAACCTACAAAGACGACAGTGCCAGTGACTCAGTCACGGTTGATGCATCAATCCATGCAGCAATTCTTCATTTTTAAACCCAGACAATGAATATTAACAGAGATAGTAGGAACTGCAGATGCTGGAGAATCCGAGACAACAAGGTGCAGGGCTGGATGAACACAGCAGGCCAAGCAGCATCATAGGAGCTCCTATGAATATTAACAGACTGTTTGACTGGGCACGGAGGGAGCCCTCACAACAGAATTAAATCATACCCTCAGCCAACACTAATGTACATTTTTTTTTTAAGCAGAGCTCCTCAGATTAAGGAAGCTAGAAGGATGTTTCTCTTTGTTTGCTAAATCAATGGATTAATGCAATTGATTGTGAAGATCCAGAGCACTGGCTGAAATCAGCTCACTCAGCCAGGAGGGAGGGATTGAAAGCTGAGGCCTTACAGACCATATACACTGCTTATGTGTGGCTTCACATTCAGACACCAAGTTCTGCAGCCGAGCAAGCTCCAAGTCTCTGTCCCCTCTCTTCCCTCTACCATTCAGCTTAACTCTGTGACCCCTGCTAGTGGACCTCTCCACTTGTGGAAAACAGGTCTGTCACTCTGTCGAAGTCCCTCAGTATTTGATGGTCTCCAATCAAGTCTGTCAACCTTCCCTTGTCTAGGCAAAATAACCTTATCCTATCCAATCTTTCTCCATTGCTACAATTTGCAAAGTCTTACAGCATTCTTGTAAATATCCACCGTACTCACTAGGCTAAGGAAAAAGACAAAGGAAAATACTGTTTTTGACTCTCCATGTTAGAAGAGTGAGGGGTAATCCTAGCTGAAAAGAATTTTTTTTTTCTCTCAGAAGTTTATGCAATTTTGGATCTGTCTCAGGTGATGTAAGGAGCGGGTAGGCAGATTTCAAGGCAAGGGAATCAAAGGGTTATTGGGTTCGATGGGAACATGGAGTGTGGAATACAAGCAGGTCAGCCATGGCCTTACTGAATAGTAGAGCAGACTCGAGGGAATGAATGGCCTTCTTCAGCTCCCAATTCGAATGTTCACCTGGTGAAGCTGCTGGATCTTCCACTTTAGAACATTAGCTCAGCAAAATTAAGGGAGGAGGGGAAACAAATGTGTGTGAAGATGAAGGGAGGCTCTGAAATCAGACACAAGCTTAATGTTGGTGGAACGACTGACACTGAGCTACAAGAACAATTGAATAGAGTGGTTTAAATCGTCAAAACTCAACAAATCTTTTAGCACAGAGACTTCAAAACACTCCATGTGAAGCATCACATTTCAATTTTCCTCAGCTCGGGTGGTTGGTTGGACGAGTGAGCAAAAAGCAATCACAATCAACCCTGCTGTTAATCAAAACAACAAAATAAATGCGTGGATCTTGATAAAGCAAGCTTCAAATGGGAAGAATAATTTATTACTTTATGTCCTCATCAGCCAATCGAACAGTGACTCAGTGAGAAGACCAGCACACTTTCTGCTACACAATTAGTCAACGTCTGTCTGCACACAGGATATAGCGATGTGCAGGGAACGCTATTCTCCATGTTTTATATAGATGCTTCTCGCATTATTTAGTCAGTGAGGAGAGGCTGATGTAGGGACTGTAACAAGTTACAAATGGACACAGCATCCCATCAGAGTGCCCTTGTTAAGGTGGCACAGCTGAAACCATTACCATGTGAGCAGCTTTGTAAAACACTGTCAGTTTCACAAATGCCACAGCCAGAATTGGCAAGGACAACTTTTTAAGAGGGGCTTTTGTGGTGCAATGGTTCCTCTGAATAATGCTATGTAATGTTGGAGGGATCTGGTGCGATTCTCTTTGGCAATGGTCATTATCTGTCACTTCTGCCAAACAATGTTCAAGCTACACTCATCAGTCCAAAGTTGAATGTTGTGCAGGTCTTGCTCAGCCAGGAATAGGTTGCTTTGAAAAATACCTGAAATCATTAACACAAAAACAGGAACTGACAACCAAAGAAAGCTGAAAGAATTAATCTCTCTATTTCAATTATCATTTTGGTGTCCTTGACTGAAAAGGGCGAAGGCTAGCATTTGTCTTAAATCCTCCTTTGGGCCCTGAGAACAGTCTCACAAGGCACGGCTTGTTATTAACCTCCTTAAAATTTCATTAAATAACAGGCAGGCATCCTCGAAACCAAAAGATAAGTGGTGGTTGCTTATTTTAGTGAAATTAACATGAAAACTTAACAGCGGATGAATGAGTCAGCTTCTCCATCTCCTTAAAAGGGATGACTGCAGATTATAAAATGATGGTGCACACAATCACTTAGTCAGAGGGCGTACAACGGCAGTTCAGGGGATTAATCAACTGTTTCAGGATAGAATGCCTTTCTTGATGTTATTATCAGCATTGTACACAGCAAGAGCTGCATAACATTCAGCTTTGGACTGATAAGTGTGGCATGAACATTATTTGGCAGAAGTGGCAGACAATGACCACTGTGAAAGAGAATCGAAGCAGATCCTTCCAACATCGCACAGCATTATTCAGTTCTCTGGCTGTTACCGAGACCAGAAACACAAGAGTCATGGCCAATTGAGAAAGTTTGTCATTGACTATTCAGTGGTGAGTGCCTCACCTTCTGACTCGCCAGAGTTTCTACCCCTTACAAGGGAGGGGCCAGTGCTCGAATATTACATGCCCAGCCATGTATAGTCAGGAAATCCCATACCACGCAACAGAAAGCTTGACTGACACCTCATTCAGCACCTTAAATATGTACTCATTCCATCAGCAGTGCAGTGTTACACACTATACCATGTACAAGACACACCACACGTAAGTTTCCAAAGCTCATTTGAGAGTGCTTTCGAAACTTGCAACAACTCCCATTTAGAAGCATAAAGGCAATAGGTGCTGGGAACAGCAATCCAGCATGTCTCCTGTCCATTCCAGCCTGGGCATATAGCATCTACTTGAATCTTCACAGAATTGTTATAGTGTAGAAGGAGACCATTCTGCCCACTGTGCCTGCACCAGTTCTATTATCTCATGCCAATCTCTTGCTTTGCCCCCAACATTCCTGCACATCATTTCTATCCAAATAATCATCCAATGCTCTTTTGAACGCCTCACTGGGATAAAATCCCTGTCTAATTGTACTGTGGGAGTATGTTTATCAGATGGATGGCAACCTCTCCAAAAGGCAGCTCGCCACCATCTTCTCAAAGGACAACCAAAGCTCAGTAATCAATGATAACATTACCAGTAACACCATACTCTCAGAATAGATTTTAATAACATGCTCTAAATAAATCTGTGCTTAATAATAATATTCCAAAAATCTTAATTATTATAAATAATTAAATGTAAAAAATATGTATAATTAGATTATTTAACAGTGACTGATGGTGTTTTGCATTTTGATGGTGCCACATTACACAAATGATACATGTTTTATTGACAGGGGTTTGAAACGAAATCTTTTTCGGCTGGCTCACACCATTTGACTCAAGTTATGAAACTCTGCTGCTGTATTCTACCTGACAAAAAGCATTCACCCATCACCCCCATGCTTTGTCAACCTATACTGGCTTGCAGTCCAGCAACTCCTCGATTTTAGAAGTCCCGTCCTTGCTTTCAAATCACTCCACAGCTGGGTCTACTAAGCCCCTGTTGACACGACCTGTGGAACCTCCTCCAAGACCCCATCACTCCTCAGATTCCAATCTATTGAGCATTTCTGATTTTAACAGCCCTACCATCGACAATCGTGTCTTCAGCTGGTTGGGCCCTAAGCTCTCGAATTCCCGGTCTCGTCCTTTAAAAGCCTCCTTAAAGCCACCTCATTTAGCCCTGCATTTAGCTACCGGTCAGAATCAGACTTTATCAAGAAACCTTCAAAGCAGCCTGGGATTCTTTACTATCTTAAAAGCCGTATTATTAACTGAAGTGGCATTGCAGAGAGGGAAATAAGGCACATTACATTAGAAAATTTATTTTTCACTCTTTGCTGTCTGGGCAGTCTCTGTACCTGCAATTACGAACATAAATCAAAGACTGCAGGCTGCAGCATAACAACTATGTCCTTGATTGACTTTATCTCAACATTTTCATGTATTTAGTGAACCAAGACACAATTAAAT